AAAGAGACAGAAGTTCTAAATGAGACAATATGCATCTAGAAATGTTCCAGAATACATCTTTCACTTTCTAGTTACAATGTAAATTAAACACCAAAATCCCAAATACAGGCTCAAACTGTAATCTCAGCTAGCTGTCTTCCAACATTAGAAGAAAAGCTTATCAAATCCAAATTGTCATTTTTTTTCTTATAAGACAGTCTTTACTAAAGCTCATGTTATGGAAATGCTGTAAATTACACACTACTAACAAGCAGTAACTGTAGTAGTTAAATATGCATATACTCAGTAATACAAAAATAAAGTAGCAGTAACAAATTTCCCTAGTTTAATGTAAATACAGTTCATATTACTTGTAAATCCACATTAAAAATGAAAGATATTTAATTCTTTACACTCTTGTGAAGCCATAAAATAGGATCTAGCAATAGTTTTTCAAATAAAATCACAGTACCTTATATACCCTTTCAAAGAAACAAAGATAGAATAAGTGCATACAGTATACTTATTGCTATAAAAGGTATAAAACCTCTTACCTATTCAGCTTGACTCATCCTTTGTCCTGGTGAATTCCTTAGGTTAATAAAAATAACTTAGTAAAAATGACATTCTCAAAGAATGCTAGCCCATATTTCAGTTTTAAGTATAGTTCACATTTATGTACTTCATTAGAAGCCAAATACTGTTTGGAACCGAACCGTGCTGAGAGGTTGTTTGCATACGAACTGCTATAAACTTACATGAACCTCACGTTATGGGGAAAAAAAAAAAAAGCCCTCTTCTATTTTAAATTCTGTAATGAAAAGTTCTGTGAAGTAAGTGCCTTCCAAAAGTACATTCCATCCGTTTCTAACTCCTGAGGGCCCTCTAGTGCACTGCGCACAAATGAACAGAAGAAATCCACATTTTTCCAGGGTTTTCTTTTTATAAGAAGGCCCTCTGCATTTTGAAATGTTTGAGAATCATACGTTCTTGCGAGGAGAAACAAACAGTGGCTTTTAAAATGCTACCAGTGTGCTACTAAACAGGAGGGTTTTGTATCTGAGCTTTCCAAAATGAGGACAGCACAGTCACTGTGCAGATAGGAGAGTCGAGGCAGTAAGAAGAGCTTGTGCAGAGCTGAGCAGTCAGACAGTGGTGAAGCTATGACTTCTGACTCCTTGTCTGGCATAAGCACAAAACAATAAAATGGATATGTTTGCTGCAATTAAATTAATAGGGACATTGCCTGCTCCACAATTAACATCCTAGGGGGGATCAGACTGATTGAAGAATAGACTTATGTTTCACATGGGTCTAATTTGAGTTACGGAACTTTGTGAGTGGATTTTTTTCACTGACCACCACTTTTCTTTACTTAATTCAAAAAGCTCCGGACGAGTCTATCAATAATATCAGTATAAATATGGCTAATCTTGCTTTAAATTGTTTACACATTAAAAGGATTGCATGATGTGGACCTTCTCAAATCAGCCTTACATGTTGGAGGGTCCTGCTGAAAGGTGGAATGGTCACTGAAGAGGTGCCAGCTTTGACCAAGAGAGAACATAAATGGGTCCTATGAACGGTGTTCCCTGTGTTCCACCTAAGAAAGATACAAAGTGAGTGCTAAATATCAGCAAGTTATACGGGTAAAATCAGGGCACGGAGCATATTTGCACATACACATAAAGTCTTTTGAAATGCATAAGACAGGTTTCTCTCTTTAAAGATAAATAATGGGAAGTAAACAGACCATTTAAACAAATCAGCATGAAGGTTGTAACCACTGTACTTCTTTCAACTATCTCAGCATGTTGTTATTTTATTCACCTTGCATTGCTAGTGGCACAGGCCGGGGAATGTATCACACTGCAACAGTATATGTGAATGTCCAGTTCCTGCGTGCGGACTGTACGATTGCCTGACTATGGCAATCAAGCAGTTGTGAAACACTGCCTGTTCCAGTTATTAATACTTTTCCTTTGGCATGGCGTTTCTTTTAAATTCTGTAATCTACGCAATCTTCTTACAGGAATTCTTTAAAGATTATCTGGTGGAAATTATAAAGGGATACGGGATATTTATTTCCTTCCTGAGTTCCTTTGTAGCCTAGAAGCTAAAATGAGCTGTACCCACTGATGTGCAGTGTTGATCACTGAAGTTTTTTTTTTATGATTGCTGTGACTATGGCCATAGTATTTTCTTAATTTTTCATGTTCAGGAAAGAGAATTCTTTCTTGTTAAATTTATTGAAATGAACGGTTGCATGTGTTTAACTACATAGGATCCAGGTTGCATGTGTTCAACTACATAGAATTCAATATCTTGTTAACTACACAGATATTTGCATCTAAATTTCTTTTCTGGATCTTTAAAAGATAACACATTCAGACATTGTTTATCTCAGTGCTTGTGTACAGCTCCAGTGCCCTACTAGATTTCACAAAATAACCAACAAATGGCTATGGGCTTGTTTGGAAAACAAACTTTTCTTTGTGTTTCAGGAAAGATAAAGTCACGTTTGTTCTTTGGTAGAATTCTTCTTTCTTGTATAACTACTAACACAAAGATGCAGCAGGGCACAAAAGTGAGCTGAAAGGGTCATTTCTCTGTGTTCACAAAAAGTCTGGAGTATTTTTTTGGAAGAATAGACTGAACTATGAGAGCTGTCTCATCCAACACTGATCTCAATTGTTACACCTATACATAGCTTACAAGTCAGTGTTTATTTCTTGCTGCAAACTATTTTCATGGTATTGCCATCAGTGTCCATTAAAGTCAGCTTCTTCTCATGTCATTTCTTTATATACCAATATTCCACAGCCAGTGTTATCTATTCCTAAGCCTAGGGGCACTGGAATACCAAACCTAATATTGGATTGGATGGAATGGAAAAGGGCAATGGATGGAAGAGGGGAAATTAGGAAGTAGTTTCCAGTTCTTTTCATTCCTAGACACAGAACAGCTGAATTTTTTGAACCTTTTTTGTCTTGTTATAACTGCTGAAACACAGCAGCATCAGTGTGCTCATTTATAGAAGAAACCAGATCAGTTTGTGTTTGTCACAGGGGCAGATATTCACATTGAAATGGCTGAGGAATGGTGCAGTGCTGGCTGTGCAGGGCCAACGGGCCTGCAGGAAGAAAAGGAGTCATTATTATAGTTAACATGGATTTTGGAACGCAGTGCTTGTGCTTGTGCTGGGCTTATGCTGTGTTTTTAAGGCTGTCAACGTGAGCTGGCATCTGGGAACTGTACTTTGAGAGGACAGAGATGTTTGCTTCGTTACTAAACATGCTGACTAATAAGTCTGTGCTTTAATTGCTGTGGGTCAAATCCTTACAGGGCAAACAGAGAGAAAGCTCCGTGATATACCCGTGAAATATTTCCTTTTTACGACTTGATTATTGAACAATGCGGCAGCTTACGGCGGCCACTCACCTCAGCCCGGGTGCATGGACCGATGCCCGCCGCACAGCCGGGGACAGAGGGCGGAGGCGGGCCGACCCAGGGGGCGGGGCATGGCGGGCGGGAGGCCGGAGCGGCGGGGCGGCCGGTGAGGCGGTGTGGCGGGGTTGGGGTGGGCAGCGGGCCTGAGGGACGGGCGCCTATCGGGGCCGTTGCTATCGGCCTCCCCACAAGCGGTGTCTGAGCGCTTGGCTTGCGGGAGCCCGGGGAAGCGCAGCCGCGCTCTGCTCGCTCGTGTTCCGCCTAATGGCGGCCTTGGGGCAATGGCAGCCTGCTGCTAGGAGGGCAGAGTCTGGCAACGTGGTGAGCACGTTTTTCTGTGCTGCGTGCTTAGTGAAAGCGTTGCCTGTCTTTGGAAAGCGTGGTCGTAGGGGAGAGCAGAAACACTCAGCTCATCAGGAAAGGGCTTGGAGAATATGGCCTGTGAGGAGAGACTGAAGGAACTGGGGCTGTTCAGTCTGGGGAAGAGGAGGCTGAGGGGAGACATTATTGCTCTCTTCAAAACGCCTGAAAGGTGCCTCCAGTGAGAGCAGGGTTGGTCTCTTCTCACAGGTGGCAGGACGAGGGGAAATGGCCTCAAGTTAAGCCAGGGTAAGTTTAGGTTGGATATGAGGAAACACTTCTTTACAGAAAGGGCTGTTAAGCACTGGGATGGGCTCCCCAAGAAGGCAGTTGGGTCCCCATCCCTGTATGATTTTAAGAACCATTTGGATGTGGTGCTCAGGGACATGATTTAGCAAAGGGCTGTTAGAGTTGGGGTAGGATGGTCAGGTTGTGGTTGGACTCGATGATCTTTAAGGTCTTTTTCCAAACTGAGTGGTTCTATGAGCAGTGGGCCCGGTGTCACCTCAGCAAGCTGCTGTGTCACCAAGGAGCCAACAGGAGCCTCCTAAAATGAGGATGAAAATATCCATCCTGAATGGGAAATGTGGCATAGGAAAAATGTGCAAATTAGCAGTGTTAGATACAGCTTTTAAGCAAATCAAATGAGCATGAGCAGTTTCAGATTGTGGCAGTACTGTGGATCCAACTTGCAGTGGCTTCTTGCTTACATAGCTGTTTGTAAGGTCTGCACCACTGTGTTACTGTTGCGGAGGGTGAAGGTAATAGAGTCACAGAATGGCTTGGCTTGGAAGGGACTTCAGTGCCCACCCTGTCCCTACTCCCTGCTGTGGGCTGGTTGCCCAGGCTGTGCTCAGGCTGCCCAGGGCCTGGTTCAGTCTGGCCTTGAGCATCTTCAGGGGTGGGTGTATGGGAACTGCTGAGTCACGGCCTGAGCCTCTGATTGATCACCAGAGGTGAGCCATGAGTCAGCCAGAGGAGCACAGGTGAAGGCAATTCAGCTGTGCTTCCTGGCTGCACCCCTCCTAGACCTATTGAAGAGCTGGCTAGCAATGGGGAAGGATCTCTTCTGGAGATCCTCTACTGGTGTTTTGTGGGTAAGCCCAGAATAGGGGTAAGCCTGCCATTTATTCTCTTTTGTTATCATAGTCTGCTTTGCCTAACTTGTTTATTTTGTGGTTATAACATCCTAATATTCTTTGATTATACAGTGGGGCACCCCAACCTTTTCTGGGCAGCCTGTGCCAGGATCTCACGTCCCTCTGTGTGAAGGAACATGGTGGCATATTCCTGAGGAAACAGTGAAAACAGAGAACATGAACTTTTAGTGAGTTAGGCCATTGGAGTTACTGGGATAAAGCCAGTGTATACAAACAAAACTATATTTCCTCTGTAGTTCAGAAACCCTGAAATACCTTTCAGCTACTTACTGAAGAACTTCTTTTGGTAACTGTGACAACTGTCTGTGACTTGCAGATAGAAGCACTGTGTTCTGACATCCTGGCAACTTCAGCTATAGCCCTGCTGTGCATTTGTTAGCTGTAAGCCTTTGGAGGTGCGTAAGCTTATTCATCTGGCAATTACAGGATTGTAGACAGCACAAGAGGTTTTTCAGGAGTCCTCTGAAACTCTCAGAACAAGACTAAGGTTATTGACCCGGTACGTGCAAACAAAAGTGCAGTTGACTTAATGCTGTATGTCAGTACATTATTTGCTCTTGACACTGGATCATAGATTAATTTTAATTTAGAAGGGACCTCTGACAGTCATATAGTTCAACTCCCCACTTAAAGCAGTGCTGTCACTGAAGCTCATCCAGTTGCTCCAGGTCTTGTCCAGCTGAACTTGCTCTTGAACTCATTAAAATGGAGTTGGAAGTTGGCCCTGATGTTTAGCTAAATTTGGAGAGTAAGTACCCAAAACCTTGGAGAGCTGCAGAGTTTTTATCAGACTGAATGGAGCATGCTCCTCCTCAATTAACTGAAATGTGTGGGTTTTGTGTCGTAGTTATAGTTCTACAGTTGTGCTATTGTCTTCAAATTGCATTTTTTTATATCCGTTAGATACCATCTTGCCCTGCATCACACAGATTTTCTCCTAGTGGATATAAGAATGAAGTATTTTTAATGTGACCTTTATATGTAATTAAAAAAATCAAGAAGGATGACAAGCCGTTTTGAATTTGAAAGGTTCTTAATATTTTAAGTGAATAATGGCTTATTTATACTTATTTATCTAAAAACTGAAGAACTGAACCCTGCACTCAGAGAGATGCAATGTGATCAGCTTTATTTTTATGTCTTTAATAGCATAAAGGCTTTTCTTGTGGAAAAAGCCAGCCTTAGTGCCTTACGTGAAAGGCATTTAACACGCTTTGAGTCAATCCTGATGGCATGAAGCTAGTTGATGTAAGCCTGTATCTATTCTGATTTATTCTTGTGATGTCACAAGGTTTTTCTCAGCCTGCGAGTTCAGTCTTGGAAGAAATCTCAGCCTTATTATATCCACTGACAAAGTGGAAGTTTTCCCAGGCAAAACGTACTTTACAGAATCTTTAAGTAGAGTGAAAATCATCTGGTGGAGGTTATGGAGGTTATCTTCTAAATAAGTAAGGAAAGTGAAGTGTAAATGAGAAAAAGAGAACTGAAATACCTGTGCCATTGTAGCTTTGCAGTAAGTCTTCTAGATGTCATTTGTGTTTTTTTCAGAAGTACTTAATGAAAAAATGATCTTTCTTGGAGAGAAACTAATTGGTAACAGTACTTGTGTGACTGAACTTTTCACTTGCTAATACAACTGATTAAATTCAGCCAGCACTGATGATTCTGCTGAAGCTCAGATAAAAGCACTGTCTCAGCAGATGTGGTTCTTGGTGTCTTAGGGACTGCAGAGCAGCTGAGGCTGGAGGGTTAAGCAAGATGAAAGCACATGCTGTGGCTCAGCTCTTCCTTTTTTGCAGAGTACGGTTGCAGCACCCCTTAGCTGATTTGGCAAAATTTCCTCCATCCTTTTTTAGCTTCTTTCCTCCAGGCAGCACTTGGTCCACTACACTGGGGAATTTCAGGCTGCAGTGGGAAGTCATTACAATGAGAATGAGCAGCGTTACATCAACAACAGGATTGCGTACCTCTATAAATATGTCCCTTTATACTCAGAGTAATTGTTTGTTTCTAACTGTGGAAATCTCTCATTGAAAAAAGGAAGTCTAGAGGATAAACAACCACTAAATTACCTACTGCCAATTCAATATCGTATTGCAGATTACACTTCCAAGTGCTTTCCCTATTTGTTTCTTATATGTTTGCTTTTCTTAGATAGTTATCTTCAGAGGCACTTTTTCTGTCAAATCCGTATGAGAGGTGTATGGGACACTTCTGTTGAGTGTAACCTCAAGGTGAATCTCCATCCAAAAGAACAAAAGAAGAGGTTGTTACGAGATGAAAAAAATCTGTGGCTATTACTTGTAATTCTATGAAATGAAAGAAGAAACTGTTGAGGCAGCTTGTCCTGCTACTCAAAGGAAAAGATGAACCTTTATTCCTGCTTTATACCAACTAGAGCAATTCTTGTGGCTTGCTAATAATCTATGTGAAGCTCACTAGGGCAATCTGTTGAATCTCTGTGCCTATTCGTGACCTGTAGGCAGCGAGGTTGCAATTTACTGTAGCTTCTAGTGATAGTTTTATCTAATTTTCAAATCCCTGCTTTTTTATACACCTGTGTGACCAGTTTGCCTGCAGGAGTAAGAATGTTATGATTCAGTGTCTCCCTAGGCAGCAAGGTTTCCCCTGACTTGCACAGGTTCGGATCTTCTGCACTCATGGCATCGTGTTTTCAGACACAATTTCTGTGAAGTTACGAAATGCGCCGGTTATTGCGTGCATCTGTTCTTAATTGGCCTGTGATTACAGTTGTGTGGCGTGGGATTCCATCGTATAGTTCCCAGTTCTTCCAGACTTCTCAGAGAGAAACGTTAGGGTCCTTTGAATTGCAGGTTTCTGAACTAGAGTGGTGTTTTTTATACTCACATATTTAATTCTGCTCTCTGATTTCAGAATCTTTCAAGACCTGCAGCACAAAAGAAAAGCTCTTCAAAAAGAGACACCTTCAGAGCAAAAATGAGCTTTGAGAGAGCCTACAATGCCTTTAACATCAGCAATAGCACAGATCTAGCTATTGGATTTACCTCTTCCACAGTAGCTGTTCTTCTATTTGGGACAAATTTTGTGCCAGTTAAAAAATACGATACTGGTGACGGTAAACTTAACCTACATTTTTACTTTTATTACTTTTGCTAGTAGGAATAATATTTCACCTGCAAATGTGAATGTTTCTATAGATACATTTATAAGTATCAGTACAGCCTGGTTCAAACTTTCTTTCTGATGTTAGAGTATAAAGCAGTAATGCATTAGTTCAGGATACAGTAAATCTCTTTTTAACAGTAATGATGATTTCATGAGCATCTTCCAGCAGAATGTGAAGTGTCCTTACTTTTACCATGCTGGGGACTCTCAAGTACATACATTTATATATGCATATTTTATATACATATAAATATATATTTATAATAACACTGTAAAAGGCTTTTGGAGTGTTGCCCTTTGGTTGTGGACCTGAGACCAATCAGAAAAGGATATTTTTATACTTATAATTAGTAATGCTAATAAGAGGAAACATCATTTCTATTTTCTTATAATTTCCTTAGGATGTTGACACTTTTATGATACTGGTTTCATGTTGTATTTGCACGTCTATGTGAAGCATAGTCAGTAACCAATCCCCAGAGAAACGTATCTACAGCTGTGTCCTTTTAATGTCATTATGTGTATTACAGACTTCTTTTTTTTGTACCAAATGCAGTCCTAGAAAGACAAGGATAGTTTAAGGTAAAAACCTTAGCTGGCATGAAGTTAAACAGTCTGCTTAGTTGCCCCTTCAGTGAAGGTTGATTTGTCCAAACTTTGTCATCCTCAGTGTATTAATGAGCTGGGCCCTGAAGGAGTTTTGTCTTGCTAATGGGGTGGTGGGAGAAGCTTTCAATAACTTAATATCCTCTTTGTCAGAAAGCTATCAGAACTTTCATGCGTTTGGGGATTGGGCCTGTGTAAACATTGCCCACCAATTTATCTTATTTTTTAGTAGAGTGCATAGCACAGGATAGATTGACAGAAAGTGACCAGGTTTCATTTTTTTCGTGTACTACCTAAGCTAAAAGAGTACGTTCAGAGGCAAGAGACTCACACTTGCCATGTTCTGCCATTTCTCTCTTGTGCACATTTGCTTTTTCCATAGGAATGTTCTTCCAATGGATTCTCTGTGCTTCCATATGGATAGTTTCTTTGGTGGTCAATTTAATCCAGAATTGCCCCCGCTTTTGGCCTTTGGCTATGGTAGGAGGCTTCCTGTGGGCTACAGGTAAGTGTTCCAGTCCTTGAGAAACAAAGTATAATTCTAACTCATCACAAAAACAGCAACGAAACCATTTCCCTATATGAGGTAATGATTTGGCTTTTCTAGTCCTGCTATTAATGGAGCTTTACTTTTGGAGCAAGTATAATTGTGAATAGTAATACTGCATATGCTGGGTGGAGCTACTTAATGCCTCCAGCTTTTTATTTGATAAGCAGCAAATTCACACCAAAAATAACTTTTAAAATGATGTTGAGGGAAAGTCTGTGATTTCAATGTATTTATTTTTTTAAAAATGCTGTTGCTACCAACCTGTGATTGCCTCAATTGCATCCCCTTCTGAACATTCTCAGACTAAACTGAAACTCAAACCCCAAACTAAAATATGCAAGACCACAGTCTGGTTTATAACTGATTTCAATTTTGGTGTTGTGGGTCATTGATTTTTATTTATTTATTTTTTCTTTCCTTTTCAGGCAACATCACAGTTGTTCCTATTATTAAAACCATAGGCTTAGCTCTTGGTCTTTTGATATGGGCTTCTTTCAATTTGCTGACAGGCTGGGCAAGTTCCAGGTAAGCATTTTAAATCATACGTTACTGATGTTTATCTTTCCTTGATAACAGCTATAGGGTAAGCACCACTGCCAATAGAAAGGATACTTAAAAGATCTTTTCTTTCAATGTGGAAAGTAGTCAGATTAATTATTTTATCTTTTTTTGTTTCCTTTGCCTCAACAGCAAGAAAATGCCCAGTCATGTTTATTAACATGATTGAGTAAATAAATAATGTGGGTTTTTTTTACATAAAACTAGAGCACTTTCTTCTGCAGCATGGATTGATAAAACAATTCAAATTAACTTTGACTTTTAAATACCCAGATTTAAAAAAAAAAAAAATCTATTTCAATTAAGTTAAAGATTACTCTTGAATAAACGTGAATTTTTGCAAGCCAACTGAAGCATCGATCCAATATTTCTAATGTAAACTTCAGCTGAATTATTTCTGTGTGTAAAGATTTTCGAGACTAGGTGATAGTATTTGGTGTGCAATCAGTGCAGCTAAGAATAAATAGTTAAATATTTCAGGTTTGGATGGTTTGGAATTGACCCAGAAGAGGTAGCAAGACCAGTCTTAAATTATATTGGAGCTGGACTTTCACTGTTAAGGTAAAAAGTAATGATTAATTTTTGTAACATTAAAAATGTATTTTAGAACCACGGCAAAAATGCAACCAGCAGGCAAATGGATTGAACTATTTTTTGCAAAGTGATTTACCACGACATTTTTGGGTTGTCCTTACCTGGTTTTTTTTGGTTTCCATGCCTAGAGTTCAGAACAGAAACAGTTCAGAACAGTGTTTTTATGCTGGTAGACGTGGTCAAGACAGATGTGTGGTGCACTCACTGTAGCAGCTCCCTGTCTACCTTCCCCCAGCAACTGCCAAACAGTGGCTTCCTTTGGGGCCTTTGGAAGGACTTCTCATTTTATTATTAGTTTATTATTTGTTCATGTTTTGAGCTAAACATAGAGTAACGATGGTCTTTGTTAGGTAGCAGTTGTCTCTGCTTTCCAGCTGATTGGCCAGGGAGGTTTTTCCAGGAGCAGGAGGGCAGCCCTGAATGCAATATGCTTGCCATAGGCATGCTAAGCAATAGATGCACAAAATACCCCCCAAAAAATGCACAAAAGAAGAGAGTTAAGAACATGGGGGAAGTGGGAGACCATCCTTGATTGCTGTGACTTTTTACCCATTAGCAGTGCATGGTTTTGAGAGGTTTTCTCTGAACGTAGCAGTGCTACTATTTCTGCCTGGTAAATTCATTCAGCTCACCAGCTGCTTCCTGCCTGTTCCTGAGATATGAGGAAAAAGTGATCAACAAGGGAAAAGATCCTTACTAGACTTGTTTTCCTGGCAAGCTGCACAAAGCATATGCATATTGTTCTGTAGAGCTCAGAAGCATGTGTTTCATTTTAGCCTCCTGGGTGGGATCTGTGCATATTTACCTAGTCCCTCTGGAGGAAGCTGGCATCTTTTTGTGTCTCTCCATATGGCTTCAGCAGGAGATAAATCACTCCTCAGATGGAGGCTTTCTGTTTATGGCTACGAGAAAGAATTTGTGGAACATCAAATTATCTTGCTGAAAAATAATGAAAAAAAAAAACAATCCAGAACCAGACTGATTACATATACTTAGCTGATTTCTGAGAGCTGGGGTAAATTAGAAATGTTCCCTTTCTTCTTTCTTTCAATCAGTCAGTGCATTGGAGCACCACTAAGCAATACCCCTTCCCCTCCTGCACGTGCATGAGACCCTGCAGGAGCAGTGTTCTCCCAGTTGCACGTGATAAAAGACTCAGAAAGAATTAATTTCCCTTGGGGAACAAATCCAGTTCTGTGCAGGTTGAAGTTTTTCCATATAGAATTTCTGTGCAGATGTTTGACCATGTGTGGTGCTGTGCCAAAGGGACTGTTATCTACCACAGCTAATATTAGCATGTGTCTGTAACCACACCACAGAAAGGAGACATTTCAATAGCATTACATAGAAGAGAGAACATGAAAGACTAAAACAAGATCAATCCTGCTGAAGTGATTTGTTAAAACTATTCAAAGCAGTTGCATTTTAAAAATGTATTGAATTGAATCTGGGATAGTAATGGCAATAAACTAGCATGCTTCCAAATACACCTTTTGTTTCTGGATACTAAATGTTATATCCTTGTGATCTGACTTGTAGTAATCATTGGTATGTTTTTCTTTTCTGAGTGCTGTCATATTTTTTTTTATCAAAACTGAAGTCCAAACATCTTCAGCTTCATTAGAAAGCACACCATTACTCAGAGAATCTGTAAGTACTCTATAGTTGTTACTTTACAGCAGTGAAAATATGTAACCATTTAAAAACAACAGCAAAAAATTGCTTGAATGTTAACAAATTTTGTTAAAGTTCATGGTAAACTACATAAGACTGTATAAATATGCATTGATTATATTTTATTTGTGTATTCAGTCAAACGTGAGCAACAGAAAAGGCTTTCCCAAATGTTCTTTCTCAGCTTTATTACTTTCTCAGCTTTATTACTTACAAGTACTTATTGCAGAGTTGCAGACAGCGTGTATTTCTTCCCTCTCTGAGAAGAGGAAGCAATTTTAATAGAGACTTAACTATAATAGCAGGAGAATGCTTAGTGGGAAGGTAACTGAGTGCTTAAGTGTTCTAGATTTTTGCCACGTTACAGAACCAGTCCCTGATCCACAGCACAGGACAAATTTTGGAAGGCAGACCTGCATTTGGATTACAAAAATGCTTGTGAGTGCTCTGTAACGTAGGAAAGCCAAAATCCATAGGCAATCATTTACAGACTTGGAGATGGATCCAATTATTACTGTTAGGTTTGTTCTTTTTTTTTTTTTTCCTGAAATGATTTTTCTTTATTCAAAGTATTTGTGTAAATTCCTCTTCTTTTTCCTTCCATTATCATTTTCTCAGAGCAGAATTGCTGTATTAATATGATGTCTGAGATGCTGTTTTCTTTTTAAAGGGAAAAAAGCAGGACTGAGTAAAAACTCTACTTTTTCTACAGTCTGTTAATGCTTCTGAAGACACCTCTGATGTCTCATGGGTGACCAATCTTTCTCCAGTAAAAAAAAGATTTGTGTAAGTCATTAACAGAGAAAGTAATTAAACACACAATAAGAACATAATTTGTTAATTTGTTTTCCAGGCATAGTCATGCTCTAACAAACAGTACACATGTCTGTATATGAATAGCTAAGCTAGTTGGATAATTTTCTTCTATGTTCAGTGTGTTTTACCCTACCAAAGAACAACATTTGCAGAGTAAACATCAATAGCAATTAAGTAATTACAGAGCTGGTTTATATCATGTTGTTGATTGGCACCCAGCATAGAAGGATTCCATGCTTCTGGGATGAAAACATGCTTCCAGATGAAAACAACTGCAAGAAGCATGGCACCATGGTAACTAAACAGCAGAAATGGTCCAAGGTGGAATTGGTAGCTAGCAAGGGAACTTATGACAGCTGAGGCCCCAGTTATCTGGAAGTGGAGAAGGGGTGCATTATCCTTGAAATCTTTATGTGGAAAACATTGGCTGCAAAGTGAAGCTGAGAGTGGACACATTTTAACTGTATCTTTTGTTTTCTCCTAGCTTCACTTCTAAAGAAATATTGCTTGGTTGATGTGGTTAATACTGGTTGCAGGTTCTCGACACAAGAGTTGTCTGTATTACTTGGCCATGAGGTGCAGGAAAACTAAATAACTGTTTTGAACAAGTTCTGCTTTAAAAAAAAAAGATGTGCTAACATACCATTTTTATGGCATTGCTGACAATTTTCTTAGATGTTTCAGGTGTGTTATTTACTTCCCTAATTAACACCAGGCTGTTTCTTTTTCCTGTTTTTTAATCTTTTTAAAGAGGATGTAGCCTAGCTGTCATAGCTGGAGTACTCTACGGTTCCAGTTTTGTACCAGTACTTTATATCAAGGACCATGGAAGAAGAAATGGAACAATATATGCAAGAGCAAGTCAATTTGGTAAAGGCTAATAAGCCCTTCTGCTTTATGTCATTATTACACAGCAATCTTCTGCTTTCATAAAGGCACAGGGCGAAACTGTACTGCTGGAAGTGCAGTGACAAAACACAAGTTCTACACCACCTTACGTGTTATCAAGTTTGTTGCCATCTAAATACTAGAGCTCCCTTTTTCCCAGAGGTGACTTGCATTAAAGGAACAGTGAGGAACAACCCAGAAGATACCATGCTTATCTCACTTCACATCTTACCGAATGTAGCTAACATTTTCAAAGTACCAGGTTTGTATGCCAGGAACATGAGGGACAAGAGCTCACTCAGCTGCCAAGTTAGTGCACTAGTAATGGGAAAGAAGACAGAACATAATTAATGAGCAGAAGAGATATACAGAAGTTTAAGTAATTAACGTCGTGTTGCTTTTTAAATGGAAGCCTTTTGTTGAAGTGTAACAATGAACTTCATGTATTCCCAAACTAGACACAATGTGTTATTATTGTAGTTGCCTTTTCTGATGAGGACTTGCAGGTGGGAGGAGATGGAAATTACCTTGCTACATGCTTCAGCTTAACCACCTTGGGAATGTTTTATTTAGCACCTACCCAATCTGTAAAGGATTGTTGTTAGTGATTAGAGTGATCAAAATTGTGATGCATTCTTCAAGATAAGAAAGAAAGAAAAAAAAGGCCATGTTTATCTTCCCTGGTATCAGTTGGTGTGCAGTTATCTGTGCAGTCACATGTGCAGTTTTAAATGTATGACATGAAACGAAGTGACTGTCTACAGGAGTGCAAATGTAGATGGTTAAGAGAGGATGTGGTTATGTAAAACAACTCCCCATCACTTTTGTGGCCTCGTTTAAGGGTTTTCTCAAGTTTTTTATAAATTAATCCAGTTGCTTGACTAACAGAGTTACAAAAAATAACTCACAGGAATGCATAAAGGCTTGTGATAAATGCTCAAGTCAGTGCAACATTTAATTCATGTTTAAGAGGATGTGTATGACTAACCAAATCTATCCACAGTCAGACTGTTACGTTACTCATAACCACAACTTGAACCTGAATTGTTAGCAGTAGCATTTTATGTATTTTTGTCTGTAGGAATAGAATCAGTTAAATAAATGTAGTTAAAATTAATAGCTGGTATTTTAGGCTAATAACAATTTCTCAATTTCTCTCTCAGATTTAGATTATGTTTTTGCGCACTTCAGTGGAATATTTCTTACAAGTACCATCTACTTTTCGATCTACTGTGCGGTCAGGAAAAACAAACCTAATGTTTATCCCCAAGCCATACTACCAGGTATGTCGTACTGTTCAGTTAGCAGCTAATGACTGTTAGTTCTTTGTTCTTCTTTGCAGTGACTTCAGTCTGTGTACTGGAGCTGTAGTTAGCCTTTGAAGTCTCTTCGTTTGACTTTGGTTTGAAAGATACTCCTATTAGGTTAATTAAAGTTAGGACAAAACCTTAATTTTGCTCTGATCTGGAAAGTGACATTGCAAGTGGTGGATTTTCAAAAACTAACTCTGCCTTAGAGGATAACACAGTGCCCAGGAAAGCTTGAACTTCAGTGATAATTTGCTACTTCAGTTGAGGTGGCTGATTTTATCCCTTGAGCTTTGGTCTGGGTTATCAGAGCTAGCTTGTTAGAGTAGTTACCGTACTAAAATGTTCAGTTTTGCTATTATGCTGTAAATACAGATGTTTCACTAATGGCTGTCTATTCTTCTCTGTACATGTTTTTGATCTGGATTTATTTTTCTAGGGTTTGTTTCTGGTTTGCTTTGGGCTGTAGCCAATTGCTGCTGGTTCATCGCCAATCACTATCTCAGTGCTGTGGTCAGCTTTCCAATAATTACTGCAGTAAGTATATAACGACAAAATCTCTGACTGGAATTGAAGTGAAAGTTCTTTTCCTGCTGTTTGTGGAATTAAGATGAAATTTTGACACACCTAGGGCTTTTTTTTGCCTCTCTTGCTTGTCTGTGCTAGCCTTTGTTTTATTGGAAACTTTCATGACTGTGACAAGCACCATTTTGGCCAGTGAGAAGTGGAGGAGTTGAAAGTAAGTGGAGCTGAAAGTCCAATTTAAAGTGGAGGAGTTGAAAGTAAGAGACTTCAAACTGTGTTGAAGCCAGTGCTCTGGAAACATAACTGTATCAATATGAAACAGTGAACTGAGGTGATCAAAGGCAGAGAAGTTACATACTTTCATCTCACCAAGTATATATTGCTCTGGATTTTTTTCTGTTGTTTTGCTTAATTAAGTATTTTTTACCACAGTTCCTGAACACATTTAACAGCATTTGAATTGCTGAAAATAATTTTCTTATACCTAGGCAGGGAAAATGGCTGTTGGATTCCTGCTTATGATGCTGTACCTTTCAAACTGTTAACATCCAGAAGTTGCATAAATTCCATCACTGTGTACAAATTTGCTGTTAGTCTCTCAGGAGTCTACTGAATGGTACTGCAAAGCTGGATAACTTCTGGCAAATTGAAGTTTATAAGTATCGAAATCAATGTTCTGCTGAACAGCTCTATTTTGAAGAGGGAAAAAAAAAAAGTAATGAAACAATAGGGATTAAAGTTTGCTTCAAGATGCAGTTAGTCAAAATGAACTCTGCAGTATGCAATAAAGAAAAAAACTTGGCATCATTCTAATTACAAACTGAAGAATTAGTGGAAAGCAGCTTTAGTAACTTTGGTTATCAGCATACGTAAAGGGCAAGGATATCAAATCACTAAATGAAACATCTTAAAGACAGCACTGATGAGAAGCTGCCTGTCTTTCACTGCAGTTTTGGAATTGCTCCTTTACTTCACCCTGGAGGGAATTTCAGTTATTCACCACATCCCTTTAACAATTTGTCTCATTTAAAAAATGCATTCCTCTGGCAATTAAGTTATCTAGACAGTGAAATAGCACCTTAGTTATTATGTAAATAATACTTTGCAATTTCACTCAGAAATAGCATGTGCAAACACACTCAGCATTAGGTACTGTTGTCTCCTGGTATAAATTTTTGTCCTATTGAGTTTACTTAAGATAGGGAGAGGAAGATGTCTGTCTAAACATCTGTCAGGTGTTTCAGAGAGCAGCTGTAATGGGAAGCATTTGCAGAGAGTTTCAGACATTTTCTTATCAGACGTGAGAATTCAGGTCATTGCACACAGAGGAGATAAACTGTATTACCAGGAACGTCTGGAAAACATCATTGTGTGCCACTGTTTGCTGTTAGCTAGGAAACCTGTAAGACAACATCACAGATAAAACACTAGTTTTCCTGACCTGTCTTAACTGTCTGGCTTTGTGCTTTGTCCAGATCCCTGAAATACAGGAAATAACCTTAATTTTCCAGTGTCTTGATACCATACCGAGTGATAAAATCAAACTTTGTTGGACAGGTTAGTTGCAGTAGAGTAGAATATCCTTGATGGCTGCCAAAAAAAACCCTGAATAATCCTCTGAAATGTGGTGATAGATGAAAGTCTGTGGTTTGGACATACTATTTGGAGACTCTAAAAGAACATGTAACAGCTAGTGCAGACTCCACGATGTAATTCAGAAAGAAATTATGCCCTCTGTAAAAACAGTCTTCTACTTCTTTAGCCCTTCTTGATTATTTATTGTATCTTACCTCCTAGGGTAAGGTACAGTCACTTTGGTGATGGTAATGCTTTTTCCATGAATGCTGTAATAATACAGGATGGAAATGCATAAACTTGCTATCCAATTGAAATGCAAGCACCCTTAAAACAATAATGAGAATGTGGCACTTTTAATGAAATGCTGTAATGTACAAAAGAATCTTATTCTTCAGGGTCCTGGCCTCATTGCTGCGATGTGGGGAGTCCTTGTATTTAAAGAAATCAAGGTAATCTTAGTAGGCCTTTTACCCAGTCTCTCTTGTGCTTGTCTGTAGCTTGTAGAGCAGCATTACTTGATAAACAGCTGTCTCTTCAATTTCTCCACCTTACAAGTATTGCATTATGAAGCTGACAGTCGTGTCGTGCAGTAATAAGTTTTCCAAGAAAAACTAAGAACTCTGAACAAAGGAATGAAGATTGGAGTTCCAGAGCTATGAGCAGCAGGGGGGGTAAATAAAAGCTGTAGCATTGTCAAGAAATGGGATGCCAAGCATAACCTTTATTTGAGCCAGTTCTTTCAGTGGGAGCAGGGAATTGAGCAGTTGTCCCATGGACTAATAAACCAGGATCAAATCCTCCAAAGGACCAAGCAGTGAGCATCCTTCTGAGGGGCAATACAGAGATCCTTAAACTGATATGCACAGAACAGGCTAAGTTACTAGATGTTAACATAACACGGCTGACATGATTTTTCTCATGGCATTTGAAGCATAGCAGTGTAGCCTAAGATTTCCTTAGCTATTCTGTACAAGATTCATAGTGTGTGTAATTTGCCATTACGGATGAGATTAGCTTTTCATGCAATGGATAGATTTGTTTTATCATAACATTAAACCCTATTTTTTTTTGTTTTTTTTTTTTTTTTTTTTTTTTTTTTTTTTGTGAAGAGATATAAATTATGATGTATTTTTCTTTTTCTCTCCTTTCATCTATCCAGGGCCTGAAAAACTACGTATTACTCTCAGTAGCATTTTGCATCATTTTGGCTGGATCGCTCTCCACAGCTTTTTCTAAAGTTTGAAGATCTTCTTACCAGTAGATGGTGCTGCTGTCTTGTATAATCAAAAGCACAGCAGTGTGTGTCAACGACTATTTGCAAAATGCATGTCCAACATTTAGCATAACTTTTTTCAGGGAAGTTAAGAAAAAAAAAAAAAGAAAACCTTTAGCAGGAAAGAAAACCTGGAAATGTTTATTTCCACATTTCAAGGATATCAAAGGATCTTACTAAATAAAGCCAGATGATTGTATAGTTAGTGATTTTGTTGGTTTAGGTATGAAACTTGCATCACCATAAATTCCAGTTCACTGCTGTGATGGTGGAGAAAGGGAGTCAATATTCTGTGTGTGTTTACTAATTCATCTTATTCCAATGCTGTCTTACTGATTTGACTATATTATGTCTGGAAATACTTGTGTTTTGGAACCTAAGATTCAAAGATGTGAAACTTGTTTCTTATTTAGAGGCATTATTCTTTAAAGATAACAATTCATATAAAAATATTCCAATCATTGCAGATTGGAAGTTTTGAAGGAAATGCAGAAAGAAAAAAAGAAGGTACTGAAAAATAAACTAGTGCTTGCTGCTACTGTCTTTGTTTAAATGCCATAACATTATGTAGAAATCATGGCCATGGTATGAATTGTTGGGGTTTTTACTGAGCTCTTGTTGAGTGGACTAAATCTGTCTAGAAAAGTGCAACACCCAGACTGCAGTCTTAGGGGAAAAAGAAAAACAAGAAGAGCAGCAGTATGACTATGTTTTCCATCTACTTTATAAGCTCTACTCATGGACACACATGATAACATGACGTGCTTTAATACCGCAGCTTGAAATTGGTAGCGTGTTGAGATTACATTGTAATTCCGTTCAAGTTTTAGTCTGGAAAAATCACAGAATGGATTGGGTTGGGAGGAACCTTAAAAATTATCTAGTTCCCACTGCTGTGTAATCTGTCCCCAGCTGTGCTAGGAATAAACAAGCAGCATTGCTTGAGCTGGGGGACCTAGTTTACCTCTAACCTTGTTTCCCATCTTCACTACATGAAGTAGTGCTGTAGGCCCTGTTTCTATAGTTTCCTCTTTTGTTTGGTGCTGTGAGTATCCTGAGTGGAGGCGTCTTGGGTTCAGAGTTTTGCTGTCTTGAGGGATGCTCGTAAGTTCATGTGTGGTGTGGGCCCAGTGTTTTTCTACCAGATTGGATTGTAGGAAACATTTGAATCTACTAGGGCAGGAGCAACTTTCACTTCCTCATTTCTGCAAAGCATTATTTGGCTTTCTGGAACAAACCCACATGCAATTTTGTACAGTCTTCCAGTCTGCATTGTAAAGCTATGAGACTTGACAACTTAATTGCTTATTGTTAGGGCAGTAATTACAATTCTTGTTTGGGAAGACTCATATTGGCTTTGTTAAATGTTTTTTAGCACATTTCCTATTTGATTTGCCTTTTTGCCTTGCAAATGGGAAAATAAAAAAAAAAAAATGAACAAACCACCATCTCTTTGCAGCTCTTGTCTATTAAAAAGCCATTATGGTAATGCGTCAGGAGGTTTGGTTTAAACATGTATTTATTCCAAACTATCTTTTCAAGGTGGTCACATGGAATATTATGAAGGTAAGTATTCCACTGATTTCTGAGATGCTACTGAATTTGGGAATATGAAATACGGCTTTAACGTTAAAATGCTGAACCCACAGAGTTCTGTTTATAGAGCTGTTTATACACAACAGCCTGACAGCAAATGTCTAATGAGAGAAAATTCTGCAGCTGATCTAAATGACCATGGCTCTGCTTATATCAGCAAAGCTCTGTGTTTTTACATCAGTCAAACAACTGAATGGAATATTTCTTTTCACTGTTGTTGCTTAATTTTTTGTATGTGTAATTGAAAGAAAAATCAAGTAGGATCAAGATGGGAAAATGACACTTCTTGAAGAAAGTTATAATGTCGTATACATGTCTGGGTCTGTTTAATAATGTGTAAGAATATATTTGAGTTTGTTACAAGAATTTTTCTCTGGTGATCCTTAAAAGCAAACTAATCCTTCAGGTACAGGTTGACAGGGAGTTTCCAAATTAGATTTTTGTATGGGTGTGGTGTTTGCAACAAGGGTACTCAGCATCACCTGTTTAGAGCTCTCACACCTTGTTATTCCTTCCCTGTATTCGTTATCAATTTGCTTTCCTAGGCTTGCTGCTCTTCTTCCATAATTCTTTTTATTCCTTCACATTCTTTGTAAAAATTATTAATATCTAGAAAAATAGATACATTCACTCCCATGTCCTTTAAAGCAGCTAGTGAAATGCATTTACTATCTCTATATATGTTTCTGTGTTTTATCTACATTAGAAGTTTCTTTTTCAATCACAATTCAGGGTTGACTGAATACCAGTTCAACAGCCTGACCTGATCCCTGTGCATTTTTGCATCTGGAATGAAAATAAAATGATAGTCAAATCATGTATGCTAGCAATGAACGTCATTTTTTATGTTGACCCCTTGCTTTCAAAAAGAAATTTAATGTAATATTCCAGGATTGTGCAATGACAGGTGGACTCTACTTTAGCTAAATGTATAACCTTCGTAGCAAGTGACTGTGAAGTGCAGTATTTTAGCTGAGGAGATGTTTCTCATGTTCTTGATGCTTACCACAAAATGTGTCTTAGAAATCTAAAAGACTTCTTCACTTGAAAGGCTGAAGATTTGTGCTGCTTACTGCACCAAAGGGCCCGTTTGCAAGAGCAACCTGACATTTTGCATTTGTGGACCAAGGGAAAATAGTGGCCTCTAACAGGTGACTAATTTTTCCTTAATGACAGAGGGGAGGGCTACACTCGTTCAGGAGTTGCACAGCAAAAACTGCTCCCAGCAGTCCTACACATCTGAGCTTTGATCCTGGACAAGGAAGAACCTCAGGAATGCAAAGGCCACAGGCTCCAGGATGCTTTGACTGTGGTTTCCAGTTGCTTTTGTGTGCAATTGCAAGGCTGGAATTTGTTGTGTAAAACCCTATCAGAGTTTGTATCCTCGAAGCATACTGTGCCATCAAGCTCAAAGGAACAGTTCAGGCTGTTGGCTTGTGGTGAGTCCCTAGAGATATATTTGCAAAGAGTATGTGTGCCCTCATCTTTAACTTCTGTTTCACACGTTTGTGTCTAGCATTTTTAAGTGCAGTAGTTGAAATTTAGTTCTTAAATCCCTAAAAAAGCTACTATTTATAGGTAACCAAAGCTACGTGGAACAAAAAATGTTTGAATATTTTTAGAGATTGGCAGCATTTTATATTATGTTTATAATACGAGCAAAAACCATTGAAAAATTCTAAGTTAAGCACTTGCAACTTGCAGTTCTAGCAACATAGACAGCATTTTCTTGCCTTTTGTGAGGCTATTCACCCTTAACACGTATTGTGCTTTTCCAGCTTTTGGAGACATGGAAGTGAAGTGATTGCCTTCTGTTTTTCCTTCTCCACTGATTGCACTTACTGTACTTCAGTGCCCGTTGTATTCTTGTAACCTGGTGAGCAACGGTTGATTTGGTGAAGCGAGGGTATGTATGTGTGTCCATTTACACATGTACAATCACCCTTGTTTTTTTTGTGGTATCAATCCATTTTATTCTTTAGTACATCATACCTTTTATATTAAATCACTTTGGCAACTGCCAGTTTTTCCATATTGGCTGTACCTATTTTGGTGAAGTAAGTTTTAGCATCAAGAAAGACCTGATCTTAATAGACTTCCATCATTTAATTGGGCTTTCACTTGTGTTTCTCATAATGTGGTTTGTGTCAGTTTTAGATGCTGTCACAACTCAGCTGTTTGCTACTAACAGACACTTCATATATCAACTTTTGTGAGTTTTTATGTCCTTATGGGCAGAAAAATCAGCTACTTTAACTTATGTCACTGTTAAAATGCCTCCTGAGGAGCTTCTGGCCCCTTGGTGTAGCACATCGAGAAGACTGTATCCTTGCTACTTTGCATCTAATTGTAGTTACAGATCTAAATCTTTACTAAATCTAACCTGTTTTTCTTGTTGCTTTCCTTTCATAAGAAAATTACCTTTAATTTTTAATTGAAGATAGATGCTTTGCAAATGTGAAATTTCCTTGTTTTGGTAACCTTGGAAATCTGTTTATTGTCTGTGTCATTTAGTCTAATTTTCTTGCCCTTACGGGAAAGCTGCTGCTGCTTCTGCAAGCTGGTTTCGCTATTAAGCGGAGCAAGTGAAAGGACCTGCCCAGGAGATTTGGTTCCTAGGTGTAAAGTGGCAAGATGGGTGTTGTCACGTCCCAGCAGGTGTCATCAACAAAATCACTGCTGTGTCTCCACTCTCTAGCAAGAGAGGCAATCTTTTCTGGGGGTGTAGTGGCCTTTTGGAGAATGCATGTTCCAAATGATAGTCTTATTCTTAGCGCCCTTTCTCAGGTGATGTGGAAGAAGAATAATTTTTATGGGGCCCTGAGCAGCAGCAGGCTTTTGAGTGAATCAAACAGGAGATAACCTGTGCTGTGGCCCTGGGGCCGGTACAGATGGGACAGGGCGTAAAGAACATCCTCTACACTGCTGCTGGAGAGAAAGGTCCCACTTGGAGTCTGTGGGAAAGAACCTCTGGAGAGACCTGAGGCCAACTCCTGGGATTCTGGAGCGTGCAGAGGGTCAAAGAGTGCTACTCTTCAACTGGAAAGGAGACCTTAACCACTTGTGAGGGGGTTCGGGCTGCTTCTGAAGTAACTGGCACTGAAACGCAGCTCCTTCTGGCACCTCAACTGCCGGTGCTGAACTGGATGTTTAAAGGAAAGGTTCCCTCCATCCATCATGCTACTGATGCCGCTTGGAGTAAGTGGATTGTGCTGATTACACAACGAGCACGGATGGGGAACCTCAGTCATCCAGGACTCTTAGAAGTCATGGACTGGCCTGAAGGTAAAAAGTTTGGAACATCAGCAGTAGAAGAGGTATCACGTGCTAAAGAAGCCTCACCATAAATGAACTACCAGAGAATGAAAAGAAATATGCCCTGTTCACAGATGGATCGTGTCGTATTGTGGGGAAGCATTGCAGATGGAAAGCTGCTGTGTGGAGCCCCACACGACAAGTTGCAGAGGCCAGTGAAGGGAAAGGAGCATTAAGCCAATTTGCAGAGGTAAGGGCTGTCCAACTGGCCTTAGATGTTGCAGATCAGGAGAGGTGGCCAGTGCTTTATTTTACACTGACTCGTGGATGGTAGCAAATGCCTTACGGGGGTGGTTACAGTAGTGGGATCAAAATAACTGGCAAAGAAGGGGTAAATCTATTTGGGCTGCTGAACTGTGGAAAGACATTGCTGCCCGAACAAAGAATATTGATATAAAGTTGTGTCAAGTGGATGCTCGTGTGCCCAAGAGTCAGGCTACTGAAGAACAACAAAATAACCATCAGGTGGATTGAGCTGCCAAAATTGAGGTGGCTGAAATAGACTTGGACTGACAAAACAAGGGTGAATTATTTCTTCCTCGGTGGGCCCATGAAACCTCAGGCCATCGAGGAAGAGAGATGCAATGCTGTTTATCTTGCTCCACAGCTTCTGCTCTGAACAGTTTTTCTTGTATTCTCACAATGCAACATATAAGTGGGCTAGAGACCGAGGGGTGGACTTAACTATGGATGCTATTGCACAGGTTATTTATGACTCTGAAACATTTGCCATAATTAAACAAGCCAAGAGGATGAAACCTCTCTGGGGGGAAGGGCAACGGCAAAAAGAAAAATATTGTATCACCTTGCCACGATCTCACAGTGGTGTTATGTGATTACCATGGTGGAGGCAACCACTGAGGTGCTTGAAACACCATACTGGGTCTTGAGAAACAAGTCCTGTGGTGATGTGGCACTCCAGAAAGAATTGAATCAGATAATGGGACTCATTTCAAAAATCTCCTTGTAAGTTCTTGGGGCAAAGGTCATGGCATTGAGTGGATTTATCACATCCCCTATCTTGCGCCAGCTTCTGGTAAAACGAAACGATACAATGGGTTGTTAAAAACCATGTTGAAAGCAATTGGTGGTGGAACGTTTAAGCATTGGGGGAAACATTTTGCAGAAGCCACCTGGCTGGTTGACACTAGAGGACCAGTCGGTTGAGATGGAGACCTTGAGGGAGATAAGGTCCTTGTGGTACACATTAAGAGCATGTTGGGAAAAGCTGTTTGGGTCCTTCCAGCTTCTGGAAAAGGTAAACCTCTCCGTGGAACTGTTACTGCACAGGGATCTGGGTGCACTTGATGGGTGATGCAGAAAGATGGGGATGTTTAGTGTGTACCAAGGGAATTTGATGCTGGGAGAGTGCAATCAGTGATTCTGTGTATATATATGTATATGGATCTGTGTGTGTAACACATTTGAATTACTGCTTGTTTGTATATGTGTATGGTTAATAAGTGATGTGGAATAAGGGGTGGAATGTCACGGTTTTATAATTTCTGTTATCCGTATTCCACATCATAGCATCATGTGAAGCACAGGAATTAGAGAGTTAATACTCCAGTTCTGTGCACTGACAACTTTCTGGATACCCAGCTCTCAGAAGAGAAGAATACCCACCCCAGAGAACTCTGCTTTCTGCATTCAGGTATCATATTTATTAAATTATCTTTCCTCCTCAGATTCTCGCCGCTGTTCTGTTTTTAGGCCCAGCTCCCATCTCCCTACCCTTCCCCCTTTCCCAGGGTGTGGATCTGTGGGTCTCCTGCCCTATTCCTCACAGATCTGGGCCAAACCAGCCTGTAAATCATCAACATCCCCCCCCTTCTCTCCCCTTTTTGGGCCTGCGGACCTCCCTCTGTCACAGACACAGATAGAGCTAGATAACCCCATGACACAAGTAAACTCTCAGATGCTTTAAAAAATGGCTTTGCGTATGATTTTGATCATATCTTAATATTAAATATTGCATATTAAGCACTGTCTGATGTAGAGAATTTGTGTTTGTGGTTAGAGCTGTTTAAATGATTGTTGTGTGAAGTTTAATGCTCTCTATCATTTTTAAGTCTTTTTAAAAAGTCTGCATGACCATTGGAGCTGAAAAGACAAGAAAATATCTGCTTCTGGTTTTCCACAAGATCTGCCCTGTCCAGGATTTGGAGATCTTTTATATTACTTTGGTGAAGGAAAACAGCAAGATTGGACTCCATCAGATGGATAATGAGGTGTTGCACTGTGAAATCACTTCTGAAAAATTTAAAGGCTGAAAACATTTCAGAAGCCGTAGCTTTTTGTTTAGTGACAATTTGCTCATGGAAAAAGATTCAGAATATCAAATTTTACAGCTGCCATTCAAGCACAGGAAAGGATGTCACCAGTCCAAGATACTGGTATGTATGTCTATACAGTACAGTAACCCTAACTGTGCAAATATCAGTATGCATATATATAGGCACGTAGGACACACTTAATTTAGATACATAGCAACTAAGGAGGAGCATAAGTCATTGCAAGTAGCTGCCTCAAAATGTCAGTTTTGTGGTCAGCATGTTTGAAATTACTAAACAGTAAATTATGGAATCTTAGAGTTGTAAGGGACTTTTAAGGTCAGCTGGTCCAACTCCCCTACAAGGAGATCTTGCAACAGCAGTATTCCACTGTACAACTTCAGCCCTCCTAGTCTCAAAAATAGATGTACAGTGGCATTTTTAGAAGTCATAAACACTGTAACCTTGTAACCTTGTACCCAATAATTTGTTATTTAATTAGAACTCCTCGTCCTGAATTAGAGAACCAACATGGAAAAAATGTGCCAGTAAGTTATTGTGAATAAGGAATGACTACTCGCTGTGTTGTAATGCAAGAACAACTGACCACAGAGCAAAGTTATCTGAGCAAAGATTTAAAAGAAAGTGATTTTTCAAAGAAAGCCTCGTTTCCAATTTGAAATTTCTCAGTAGGTGTTGTGTAGGTGAGTATTGTAAATAAGCACCCTGAGACAGATCATTGGCAGGCTTCGTTTACTGTGCTTTGTGTATAGAACATTTGATACTCATTAAGACGACAATGTAGATTTTGTGTCTGCATTACTTTTTCTGGGAATTCAGAAAGAGCCTCTGGTTGATATTAGAATGAGTATTTCAAGAAGGCGTGTGCAATTCAAACTGTGCCTATGAACGATTACCCTACTTGTTCCTATAGCATCTGCTGTGGCCTCTCTCCTGTTTCTTACTGAACAGTCAAGTTTCTTCAAGGAGGAAAAGCTGTCTGTGGACATTTGTTGAGGCAGGTGGAGAGCTCTTTAGATTAGCCTTAGTGGCTTTTCTCCCTACTTTGAGACAGTGGTCCAAATGTAAGCTTATGTTTGCTTGTGATGGCAAGCCTCAGTTACTGGACAAACTCCAGAAGGCATGAAAAAGATTGCTAAGAAAAGCAGAAGAAACAAACTTTTAATTAAGATACGGAATACAAGCAGGAATTCAATAAGTGCAGATGACAAATCGAGCCAAGAGGAAGCAGTAATAAAATTATAAAGCAATGAAGCTGAAGTGAGAGTTTCTCATTATCCAGGTTGAGAGAACTTTCAGCAAATTGATCAGAATCGGGCATATTGCATCAATTAGACTTGTCTTGTAGGGACTGCATCATGCTGGAGGTTAATGGGACGGAATAGTAACTCAGGATCTGCCACTTACAGCCCCACACAGCCCTGCATCGGATGCCAGAGGAAGCGCGACCTCCGCTGCTGCAGTCTGAGAGCAGTGCAGTGTTCCCCCCCGTGGCTGCAGTGTGTCATCAGCACGTTATTTTCCTAGTTACTCAGGTAATAATTCCATTATTTCTTCTCGTGTCTGTTCTCAAAAACAGGACCTGGCACAACTTCCCATTATTTTGTAGACTTCCTTTAGATATCTGTAGGTACTCAGGCTGGCTAATAATGTTTAAACCTATTAAGGGAGGGACACAGAACAAAAGCAACACAGTATTTTAGTCCTTTTATGACTGCTTGAATGACAATCGGAAACAAATTTAATTTTTTTAGAAAAAATATTCTTAAATGCAACTGAAAACATTAATTCAAATTCTAACAATATTTTCCAGTTTTATAATGGGATTAAATGCTTTACTTGCTTACCCAGAAAAGAATAATTTCAGTTAAATTAAGTATATTCCTTAACAAAGATTGCACAACTAATCCATATACCACTGGTCTATTCATTAGGCAGCATTTCATGTCATTCCTGTGACATCAGAAACAAAGCAGTGACCGAGGAAGAAAATAATTCTACTTCTGCTGCTATGTTCCAAAATGCTGCTTTTTTAAACACACAAAAGGCTACGCGTGATAAACGCATCATTCACCATTCATTTGCTACCCTGCCATTTCTTTCAACTCCGAATCTGCATCTTCTGCATGAATTCTGTATTCTGGGGAAGCTGTCTGGCAGATTTTTAAATGTCTCGAGCCGCAAACAATTCCTACAGATGGCAAATATCATAGAATCGTTTGAGTTCAGAGGGATCCTTGAGGGCCATTTGGTCCAACTCCCTTGCAATGAACAAGGACACCTACAGCTACATCAGGTGCTCAGGGCCCCATCCAACCTGACATTGAGCATCTCCAGGGATGGGGCATCCAACATATGTGTGTATGTACCATACTGATGGCAGTACAGAGAATCTTTCTACTTCTATTTCTTTCTAAAATTTCCAGAATCTTTTCTACCATTTTAGAATAAGATTTAGAAGCACATCCTTCAGATGGAGGAGTTTCACAGGAGGTGGCCTGGTGTGGATGAGCAGATTGAGGTACATCAAGCTGCAGCCACAGCAGCATGCTAATCCAGCCATTAACAACAGGCTGAGATAGGACAGTCCTGACAGGAGTCCTGACACCTGAGCCACAGGAGGCTCAGGTGGACAAAATACATGTGCCTAAGCAGTTCCTGGGTGGTGGACAGAAATGTGGGAGGAGGAGAATATAATTCCCTGGAAAGAGCCTTAAGGATGCTCTCAAAACAGCTTGACAGGCAGAAGCTGGTTGATTTTAAATAGCAGCAGCATGCTTTGGTCAGGTAATGATAAAAACATCTCTCGTAGTAGCAGAGATGCCTTAAGCTTTTCAGTAAAGCACAGCAGGGCTGGCCTGTTCCTGAAGCCATGCCTCTGACCCCACTGCTGACAGAACCCCGGTGTTGTGAAGAAGCCAGAGCAGCTTGTAGGATCACTGTCTGTTCCTGAGCTGGATCTTAACAGCATTTGTTAATTAGCCTGGAGCAAAATAAGACCTGAGTGATGTGCTGTAAAGTGTGCTTGTAAAGCATCTTCATGTTGTCTCTGTACTTAGTGATGACCCTGTTACTTGCAACTCTCTCTAAGCTCTTGCTTGCTCTGCTGATCTCACAACTCTCTTCTCACTCTGCTTACCTCCGAAATAGTTCAGCAGGAAGGATCTTCTGCAAAGGAGAGGTGTTCCTTGGGCTGGGTGACAAGAACTAAACCTTCCTGGGACAGCTTGTCCTCCCATGCTTTAGTCAGGTAAATTCTCAGTGAAACTGGGTTAAGAAGCAAACAATTATTAGTAATTCAAACATGTTTACGTAACTGGAGGTTAAACTCTTTTGGAAACAATTTACTGAATAACATGGGTTAACAATCAATCGGGCTGTGGCTCAAGTGTATATTACTTATAGCCAGAAGTCTGGTTATCCAGAAAAATAACTTGCATTTTTTCAATTATTAGTCAGTCTTGCCCTCTCAGAAGAATTATTTTAATTATTCTCCACAAAATACAGGCACTGTGGAATGTACACCCATCTTCTGCCAGAGCTGTTTTACAAACCTCATGTGTTTTCTGCCCTCACCCTCACCTCCATTATGAAACAAGGCCAATAGTTTTTAGCTGTCATATCATCACTAGAATTAATCAGTAGAATTACTTGTGTATTATCTATTTGAATATCATTAGAATACACATATATGGGCAGCCTCTGGTATTGCTGTCAGCATTCATTTAGAGTTATGTCATACATTCTTGAGCATGCAGTAGCAATGAAGGGGCATGTAAATATGCACAAAGGAATAATCACAGGAGGGCTAATGGTAATATCAATAATAAAAGTGGAAATAATATGAGATATTTAACAAATGACTTTGTTCCTGTGGACTCAAAGAGACTCATGGAGAGTATATAGATGTTTCCAGAAGTGGAAGGTTCACCTTCCATGGCAAGATACAGGCCATGTTCCTGTCCTGGGTTTACACTTCTCCTTGCGCTGGGGCATGTCGCAGCTGTCTATATCATATCCTTTGGTCTGCTTGCACCAGGGCATGTCCCAGCTGTCTATACCATATCCTTTGGCCTGATATCTGAGGCTGCATACCTGTATTGGGTACCAAAGGGGGAGTCCAGATTTGCCACAGGGATGTGATTAAGGTTCCCTTAGTGATGAAAACCGGAGTGTTGACAGTGATATCTATTACTTACTAGGGGGGTTACTGATCCCCCAACCTCCAGTAATCTTCCCCAAGGTGCAAGGAGGCCACACTGCTTCAGTCCTACTTGCACCTTCCAAAGCCATTCTATTTTATGGGCTCTGGGCTCTAGGTTTTCTGGGGCAAGGAGCAGTATATTATTTTCATTGCCTTTTGGTGTCTTACCTGACAACCGTGCCAATAATTTAGATCCTCAGCAGGGAGGCCCATGTTGTCTGTAGCATCTTTATGGCACTGGATTTGCTGGCTCCAGGCCTTTCGTTCAGGTCCAGCAGGGTTTCAACAGAGACCCTTTGGCCACCTCTGCAGGAATGAGAGCCTGTCTTCAGGGCAGCCTTAAGAATACTGTTATAGCATTCAGTAAGGTCTGCCCCCATCAGATTATATGGCAGATGGAATTGCCACTCAGTGTTGTTTTCTTCTGCCCAGCACTGTACTATTGTACCAATAAAATGAGTTTCTTGGTCACACTCAGTGACTTGAAGTATCCTGTAGGCAGCCATCATCTTGGTGAGTGCCTTGATGGTGTATGTCTGGTTCACTCTAGGCACTGGATAGGCTTGCAAACAAACTGTGGTAAATAGCTGTTTTCTTCATGATTTTATTTCTATCTCTTATTTTAATTTGATTTATGGTGGGGAGATTCAGATACAAATTTATGAACTGGTGAGTTGATGGGGTCATCAGTGAAATTGTGTGGGGCAACTTTTGCTGTCTTCCATTGCAGGGATGGGCAACTTCTGCATTAAAAAAAATGCATTGCAAGATGTGTTCTGTCCATTGTAAAAACTTATAGCCAGGTAAGTAACACAGGAGTTGTAGCGTGAGGTATGAAAAGAGAAGCAGAATTTAGTAGCTAACAGAGCTGTTGTTCTGTTTCAATTTGTGCACCTTCTATCAACATCCCAAACCAGATCCCTCCCATGTTGGCTAGCAATACTGAAGTGACACGGAAAGCCAAGTATTTTATTGCCATCACTCACTTTTTCACTTCCAAAAATGTTTATTTTCAAGGATGAATAACTCCAGAATATTTTGTACAGCTTTTTCATTAAGGCGAAATGTCAGGGCAGAGTATTATTTAAACAAAACACAAAGAAGAAAATTCCTGGAACACTACACTCTTTTCTAACATGATATAAAACAGCGTTTGCTTGATATAACTTAAACTGTATAGAAAGCTTGCTTTGCCAAAGTTATTTATAGAGCTTGATATTATTATTGTCTTTGGCTTTGTATTTAAAGCTTAGTTCACTGTCATCATCACCACATGGTCCTTTGATGAAAACACTTCAAGGTCTTCCAACTGCACAGTCTTCAAGCTTTTTACCTTTGTATGTGTCATGATCTCACAAAGCTGAATTTCATTTAGACATTTGTTTCAAAAACATTTTCCTGGAATTCCTAAGACAGTAATTTAAAGTGAATTTTCATTTGTTGTTTCTTTCTTTCTGCTTTCAGTTCCAAGCAAATAGAGGTGTGTATCTACTGTGAACTTTACAGTCGGTGAGTTTTTATAACTTAACAGCAATGACTTTTCTTGTGTACTCATCGTATATTTTCAAACATGAACATCAACCTGAGAAACATCAAACAAGCAGAAAGTACTCAGGCCCTACCATGGCCATCAGGACTCTTAAAAACAGAGAACTATTTGCAGCTTTTTGCCAAGGAAACATCACACTGATAATTTGGATGGTTTTGCACAGTGAAAAACAAAACAAACCTTTGTCTTTCTCCAGTAGAATTCGTAGCCTTTCTTTTTTTTTTTCAGTCTCTTTCTGTTTGCTAGTTGATTGTTACAAGCACAAATCAGTATAGTCAGATAAATACTTTGGTCCACATTCCTAAGTAGGCTGCTTCTGTGGCACTGAAGATAGGGTTCTCTGCCAAACTCTAACGTAATTCCTTCTCTATTCAGTCAGTAAATTGGTGTGATTATATAAAGTATGGGTTCTCCATCAAGTAAGAAAAAAGCTGAAGATTTGTTGAGTTTCAACCACGGAGTTTCAGCCCCACACTTTGCGGTGTTTTGAGTTCAGCTCACTGGCTGGGATTCTCGTAAATATTGTGATTGGGAAAATGAATGTCTGAACAGGGCTCAGTTGTAGAACTGCAGAGTAATTTACTACCAGCATCAGTTAGTTACTTCTGGGAAGGTGCCATGTTGTTAGGAGGGGCACACGGGTTGGAACAGACTGGCCCCACGTGAGGGGGAGCAAGGTTGTCATTTAATGAAGTGAAAAAGACAGCAGCTTTGGCTTGTAACTGTAGTGATCAGAAGACAGGTCTGTTAAACAAAGCTGACCTTGGGGATGAGCAAATTGTTCATTAAGGCACCTGGTGCTGACACTCCCAAGATTAGTGCTGCTGCAGATGTAGATAAGGAATGGCTGGGGGGTGCAGCTTTGTAAGCTCCTTGTAGGTTTGCTTTTGCAAGCATTAATTTGTTTGTTATTTCTTTTCATATTTAGGCACAGACCTGTGTTTAGTTAACCTCAAAGAGTACAGTAACAATTCCCAGGTTTGTGGTGTGAGGATTGGGGCTAGACAGCACCACCATTAGAAGTGAGGGATCCTCATCACCATATCACCCTGCCCATATCTCCTGCCTGGATGGTGGACCAATGGTGAGCAAAGCTTTTCTTGTTTTAATTGATGCTTACGGCATAAAGACTGGGGAGGATGAAGGGAGTGTTGAAAACTGCAGTAAAAGATCCTTGTTTTGTCAAGTGAGAGTGAGCTTGCTTTGAGGCAGCTCAAAGCTCCAGTTGAACTCCAGGCTTATTTCTGTAGGTGGCAGTGAGTTGTCTCACGTGCGGACCTAACTTTGGAGGGGATAAGGTCAAAGTTCTATTTTCTTGATGACAGTCAAACCTCTCCTTGTCTTTGAAGGCTGCTTCAAAAGGAATGCCTTTTTTGCTTACTTGGCCCATGACATCAGAGGCAAATGTTAGTGGTATGGCAGTAGAGGTTGAACCTACCTGCCAATATTCTGTTACGTGTTATTTCTGCGTGACAGATGGCACCACAGGGGCAATGTGACAAAATGATATCTGACATGGAGAAGTGATGGAGCAAAGGTGTGGCGTTGAATTCCACCATGCAGATATAATGGCATCCGTTGATGTTTTCTGAATGTTGATGGAGACCAAAAAGTGAACGTGAGTGCAGTGAGGCTGTGGGTGATGCCTTTCAGCAATGACACCTTCATAGGAGCTGTGAAAAAGTGGGTTCTCTCTGCTGGTGTGGATTTTCGCAGTCATGGCATGCAGGCTCTTCCTACTTGCTGGCAAAAATGCATAGCTAATGATTGTGGCTATGGTCAAAAACAGCATCTCATAGTTGAGAATTTACTCTATCAGTATTATTGTGCTTTTTTATATCAGTTGTATTTTTTATGGAAACAAATAGGAGGCATTGCTTTTGGAGCAACTTACGTACCTTTGCTGAGTACAAGCATTGGCTCACGTTGCCTCCATTCTGTGTGGGCCCAGAAGCCAAATGGCCTAGGCTCTAAATGCTTCTCACTTCAAGGGGGATTGAGGCAAAACTCTCTTGTGGGTGCCCCTCACATCTCCTCAGTGTGCTGACCTCAGGTTTGTACTCCCTCACCAGGAAAAGTCAGAAACAAAATAGGAAAATGGCTCAAGCCTCCTCCTGCTTAGGACCCATATGCTAACAAGTAGAGTGCAAAACTGAAGAGTAAAAATAGGGACAGACAATGGGTTCTACTTGCCCCCCAGCAGAATGGCTGTACCAGGGCCCAAACATATCAACGGCTTCCAGATAGGGGAGCCTTATACCTGGTTAAATTAACTTGTCTTTAATATAAATAAGCTGAAACAGATGGGTGCATGATTTTCATGGGACAGTAAGGTAAATGATGCCAGCAGAAATTTGCTTGAGCTATCTCATAGTACAATCATTCAGAAATGGATGAACAATTTGAAAAGATGAAATCAGGTGAAAATGAAAGTAAGTGTCTTTGTAAACTTCAGTTGCAGCATCTAAATCTCTATACCAAAGCTTATTATCCTAGTCCTCTGGTGCTGTCGGATGCTCTGACTGATAACCAGGCAAGGCTTAAATCTCCACGTTTCCAAATAGTTGAAAAATCGGGAGAAAAAGGAATAATCCAAGTGAAATGGAACAACTGTTTTTAGAAATAGATAAGAGGAAGCATAAGGAGGCATTTTAAAGACTTGTAACGATGGAAGTTTGTTTTGTTTGTCACTAAAGGGAAGAGTGCAGAGCAGCTTCAAACTAACACTCAGCAGTGATAATTCATGACCCAGGAACAGCTTGTGACATCTGTTCACAGACAGGTTCCTTGTAGAACTGCTTGTGGCAGCAGGACTCTGCCCAATGGATTGTTCACTAATTTTATTTAAGCACATGCTTGTGTCTAATTTGCTTCAATAGGTACAATAAAAATTCCCCAACGCTTCATAAGGACAGTGGAATTTCCTCAATTGTGTTTGAGAGTTTTAGGATTCTCCTTTGTGAAGACATGTGATTTCTTAGATTTCAGTCTCCTGTTATGAGATATTGAGATGAAATTAAGTCTGATGCTAAACTAAAGTTATATTAAGAAGGTCATAAATTGGACTTGTACAAATGTTTTTGCAGGTCTGCTTTTGCTCTAAGAACATTTGTAATGAAATAGCAGGGCAGTTTCTCCCACACAACGAGTGAAAGCAAATTCCTTATGAAATTAATGTGGAAATAATTCAACAGTACCATTCTAAGTGTTTATCTAAAAGGCTGATCCCTATCTGTTTAAATTCCGTAGCGTTACACAAAAAGATTTGCATCTTTGCAGTTTTATTTATGATGCTGTAATGGGAGCACAGAAATAACGGTATGATACGCTGTGAAGTCTTTCATCTCTCGAGTAGCAGATATGTAAGTGGGACCTGTGGTGGATCAAACAGGTGCCAGGCAGGACATGTGGCACTTTGGAGAGGAGCTCCTTTCTCAAACAGGTTACTGCTTTGATCATTTCGAGTGGAAAATCTGTGCCTGCAAATATCATTTCATTCAATCAGTGAATATCTTTGACCCTAAAGGTTGTTCTCTATACGTTGCCTAGAATTTTCTGTTTAGGAAGCAGTAAAAAGTACTTTCAAGGTAATTCCTCACTTGTCCTCTTTGGCGCATCTTTCTGTATAGTATTTCAGACTGGAATGATGTGGAACTGAGCTTAAAATGGCACGGTGATGCCTAAATTTCTTAGTTCCAAATTTCCAAGTTGTTGGAATCCCTTCTTCAGCTCTATAGACAGGTCATGCATGACTGTTCCAGGAGATTAGCTAGACCCTTTCCACTTGGAAGGCTGAAGACTAGAAACAAAAGATATCTCCCACCATTGGTATGATTTATCTTTGGTTTCAAATGTTGCTTGGAGAATGGCCACTTAATCAGCTGCTTGTGCTACTTACTACACTAAAGAACTTGGTGTTCAATTTTACTGTGTGTGACAAGGACAGGCAATTTGTGTAATCATTACACTGGGAATGCTACTAGGCAGGTAAATTTGCAAGAGAGTATTACAGTCATGCCTACATTCAGGCACACGTGTAGCGCTTCAGTCTACAGACACAGGCTGTTGATTTTCAGAGGAAATAAAATGCAGGGCAATTTCTCGATGTCAAACATGGCAGCCTTTCATGACAGATTACTCACTCACATTTATAGCATAATATAATGCAGTACGGAAAGCAGAATGTAACCAAAAGCTTTTCTTCTGTGATCTGTTATCTGATAGGCATGCTGGGATCATAGAGGGAAAGAAGAACGATGACAAAAAATAGGTGTGCTGCAGAGAGCTTGAATAATAGACACAAAGCGTTAATCATGCTCAATATCATGCTGAAAAATCAAACTGCACCAAAGGACTGACAAGAAGGTACAATCACAAATTGTTAACTTCACTTGAATTTATAGTCCAGTATTTGCAAGCATCAGATTTGCACGCAAATCTGGAAAGATCTAGGAAACTAAAGCTTTGTCAGAGACCAAGAAGAATGACCATCAGTGTCTGTGTAACAGAGGATTATGTTCTCTGTGATGCATTCTCGTCTGTTGCTAAAAACCGTAAAAAAAAAAAAAAACAACTTCATAAAAGGGACATTACATGAGCTGAATACTGCTGTATTTTGGTAGGTAAGGAAAAGCTCTGTGTTTAAGGATAAATTTTTCTTCTTAAAGCTAGAAGGGGCATATTTTGGCACCTTGACCATCATTTTCAGTTCCTATCTTGTCATTAGAAAACCTTCTTGAACCTTCTGTCCTGCCTTTCCTCTTGCAGTCTAAATTCATTATGCTATTTTTTGTTACTGTTGTTGTTGTTACCTTGCCTTTTTAACCACTTAGTTCCATCCTAAGTTATACTTAATCCCCTCCAGTACTGAGCTTCTGGCTTTCTCCTGCAGACATCAGGAACCTGAGAACATAAAGATATTGTGAATGCAGAGTAGAGTTGTTTCATAAGGTAGATCTCATGACACAAATTCCCAGAGTTCTGTGGGACATTTCTCTATTCCTTAAAAACCTGCTTTTTATTAATATTTTCTGTTATTGCATGTACATTTCCAAACAGGGAATACACTACAGGGCAAGCTGTTTGCAACTTTGTAAGCTGACTCACCAGGTTTCTGTGTTAACCAACATAAGACTTTTATTATGTGCAAAGTTGACTTGGGTTCTTTGTTTTGAATACCTGTAAAAATGCTGGCATTCACCCATACCATCCATTTGCTTATGTGTTCCCATACAATGGAATGATCTTTCTGAATAAAACTCATTTCCTCAATTAAACTGTTGACTCATCAATCCAACTTCATGTTCAAATTATGAATATACTCAGCCTATGTTTTATGTCTTAATTTTTAGGAGTGTGATCTGGATTTAGGCTATGCTGAAGTCTCAACCAGCTTCAACAGCATAATTCAGCTAAAACAAAACAAAACTGAGAGGCGTGAGTACGTTTGTTCTATAGAAAACTGTGAGCATAAATAGTTCAGAGGTGAGGCTTTCCCAAAACACTTCTACAATCACAAAAACCTCTGTGGTACTTTTTTCCATACAGACCACTTCTATGGACTTTCAAAAGTGCACACTACTTAGAACTGGAAATGGGGACTGTGTGTGTTTTGTTTCTTGACAGAAGTTGACAAAACCATCAACAGTTTTGTAGGTTGTTTTTTCTTTTTCGCCGCTCGTAGCTACTTCTGCAATTGTTGACCTCAATTGACCAATAGCAAATCAGTTAATTGAAGATTAGTATTGTTAGAGTTTTTGGAAGACATATTTTCTCCTCCAAAGCCAAATTAAAGCGCTGGCAAATATTAGAGATCCACACTGAGCTGGGCAGCTAAAGGGAAGTGAGAAATATGAGGGCCTCTTTACTGATGTTATGAGCTCATGAGTGTCTGCAATCAGCACCTTTTACCTGTTCTTTACTGAAGAGCGGTGCACGTGGGTCAAAAAAGACAAAATTCAGGAAGCAATATAATGCTGACAGCTAAGTGGAGTTCAGTGTAATTTCACGAGGTAATTTGAAGATTTTTTTGTTGGAGAGTCCAGAAAGCTTATGAAGAGGCAGATGGAGCAGTTTGTGAGAAGCAAGAGAAAGGAGGACACCAAACAAAAGAGGGGAAAGCAAGAGAGCCAAAGAGAGGAAGGAACAGTAGCTGTGCAACAGGAAAGAAGAGATGTGAGATTGGGTGAAGAAGTCAGAGGAGGGCGAGAATAACTGGAGCCAACAAAGAGATGAAAGGACAATGAGTACAAAGTAGAAAATTAGGAATGGAAAGTAAGAAAAAGGTGTCAGGATACAAGGGGAAAGAGCCATATAAAGAGAAAGAAGAGGGAGAAGATGAGAAAGGAGAAGATGATGAGCAGAAGGGATGAGTGAACTGTGCAGGAGCATTTAGAAGCACTGGTGGGATGCTTCTTTGGGCTTAATGCTGTGAAGTGGTGCACGTGTGCATGAGTGTTCGACAGCGTGGGTGAAACAATCAGCATAAACCTGCTTGCTCTGTAAGTCTGCTTAAGTTCTCTACCTGCTGTTAGAATCAGAGAAAAAGGCCCAAGTAGATGGGAAATCACGTTCAGAGTTGCAGGTGCAAGTGCCAAAAGACACAGCTTTGTCCTTGCCACCCTCGTACCACCTTGGGCTGCCAGGGATGTCCAGTATCTGAGACAGGACACCTCCCAGTCAGCTTATGTTCATTCTCTGAAGTAATCCAGCAAAGAAGAAAGGGGGGAAAAAAATAAAGAGGGGAAAAGCAGAACAGGGAAAAAAAAAGAAAGAAAGAAAAAAAAAAAAAACTACTTAGAAATGATGTGAAGAAGAATCATCTTTGCAGTCTTAGCAGTTTTTATATTATTTAATTAGAACAGCAGTATTTCCGTAGATGGAGACAGAAATGGACACTGCACTGGGAATGGGCAGATGTGAGCATTTCTCAGAGCATCCATTTAGAGGAGGTCAAGCTTCAGAGGGCCCCACGTCTCCCAGTGGTTTCAGTGTTTCTCCAGGCTGGTGGTTACCACAGTGACATAACTGTTTTGTTGTGCTTCACTAGGGAAATAAATGATTTGCTCTCAGCAAATCCCAGTCATCCACCTTCTATTCTTTTCTGTGTCAACATCTCCTCTTTCCTTTCACGATTTGAAAGTTGTTTCGAATTAAATTGAGGAAATAAATATTTCATGAATATTTTAATTCAATCTCACAGAGGAGTACATAAAGCAAGAACCCCCCAAATGCATCTCAGGTTGCATCTTCAGGTTAGGTTTTAAGAACATGAGGCAGATTCACGATTGAGAATTCTAATGGCTTCCTTCACAGCAGTTAATTTTCAGGCTTGTATTATACAAAGTAGAGGCTTCTTGTATTATACAAAGTAGAGGCTTGTGCTGTTAACGTTAGTGAGGCATCTCAAGGATGAACAAAACTTTTATTCTCTTATCCCACTGCATCTTTCCCTCCTTTCTTTTTTCATCCTTTTTTTTCCAGGCCTTTGTTTTCTACAGTATCCTTTTTAATTTTTAACCTCTATAGCTGAGAGCTGTCATAAAGCATTATTAAAACTCAATACACTAAGCATGCAAGTACTATTTTACAACCTTAAAACTATGTGTGGGGCAGAACGATGGGCTCAATCACAGGCAAGTCAAGCAAGAGATGTTTCCCCATTTCTTCTACTTTTGTTATCCTTTGCTTAGCTTACAGAATTTTTATTTCTGGTAGTTCCCTAATAACACTGTTGTTGCTGTTACAACTATTTATGTGCATGCTCACACTTTGAAGGAAAATTAGTCTAAAGGGGACTTCTGTCAAAGAGATTGTATCAACTGAAGGATTATTTTCCTTCACTCTTTGAAATGATTTTGGCTTTGAAATAGTCTTATCGTTATACTAAAGATAATGGTGCAGACTAAGTCACAGTCTGATTAGTCAAAGCAACTTAATTAATCTTCAAATGCATATTCTCACATCCTGTGAGTCTCAGCACAATTCAAGCATTAGTCATTGCCGTTCAGTAAAAGGCAAAATGAACAACATGAAGATTTGAGAAGTACGAAAAGTGCTTTGAAAGTGCATCATTTGGGGGATCGGAAAGGTTGAGCCTCCAGATGACCAACTTCACAGCAATGTAAGGTGGCTGCAGCTGACAGCTGCTCTGTGGCTGATATGAATGGGCACAGTTCAAACCCAGCTGGCAGGTTTCTGTGCGGTAATTCCCACCCCGTGGCACACAGCTGTGCTTTACTTGGGTAATTCAGTCTGCAGGCCAGAGATCAATCTAAGAGCAGTGGGGTGAGAGCATCGGCAGGACAATGTGTGCTGCCTTCCCTATGATGCTTTTATTTTCTTTTTTTGGAGCTTAAAAACACACAAAAATTTGCCAGGGAACTCTGAGATAGATATCTCTCTTCCTTCCCCTTTAGCTGAGTATATTAAGTTCAATGTCCATTACATAAATATCCATTTGCCCTAAACAGGGGCATTTCTACCAATGCTTGCTCTTTCGTTTCGTCTTAGAATCTTTTTACTGTTTTAAAGAGATACCATCCATTCACTATTAAAAAAAAAAACACACACACAATTTTATTAGCTCTGCATTTGAGTAAACCATCCCTTAAAAAGAATGCATCTGTGTTAAGAAGCCGATTGCAAAATTTTTTTTCTTCCCTAGCATCTTTCTTTAAAAATGTACAAGTTTTCTGTGATGGCTTTAACTAGATAACAGGAATTGTTCACTCTCAGCTTTGATGGACTCCTTTCTAGGAAGGCAGATTGCAACTAGGACATATTTTAGCGAAACTGCGTCATAGAATTTTCCATAGCAACATGCCATGACGTTGCTGCTGTGGAATTATGATCACTGTGCCTCACAGACAAAACGAAACAACACTGAGCAGATTGGTTTTTTCACAAACGTACTCTGTTTGGTAGTTTATTTTTTCCTACTTGCAGCTCTTTCTGTAACAAACATTCTGCTGCAAATGTTTGGCATTGGTGGAAGATGTGCGCGTTCTGAGAGCCATGAAGTTATGTGAATTGACTGTTAATGCAGCCGTTCCTTTAATACATGAAATCAGCTGTCTCCATCACAACTAGAAAAGAGTTAATTAGATTCTAATCCACCTGTAGAGCTAATAAAGCCCTTAGTTGTTGCACCTGACAAAAGACCTGCTTCTTCTCAAGCCTTTATAAAGCATTGCTGCAGTTAGGAAGGTTGCTCTTATTTGCTGATGCCTATTGAAACAAGTTGCATGGCCTCATCTCCTGGATGTTTTACATGTCTTCTGATGATTGGTAGGTGTTGTTTCAAAGGTATTTTTAATGATCTTAAGCTATATGGTGCTGTTTCTTCAGTGGAGTTATTTCAGCCATGGTATCGCTTTTAAAGTTATTAGGAACTTTCTATGTTTTGTTTCTGTATTACAAACAGGCTGAAAAAAGTTTTTGAAGTCTAGAATCTCATGATTATCATAAAGAGAAATCAGGTCTATCAGCATACAAATTGAGATTGCATTAATACTGAAAGCATTTTCAAGTCTGAAAGGAGCCATTACTACGTAGGTGTTATGTTTCATTAGAAATAAAGAGAAACGTGGAAATAAAATGCAGCAAATACATATCTCTTTGCAGAATAGAATTCGGTTGAAAATCAGTCATTGCAGAACACGGTTTTAAAGCACCTTTGGTTGGAAGGATACAGTGGAAGAAAAATGTGGCTCTAAGAGGACAGCCTTCGGGAAGGGTGAGTTAAACAAGAGTCAGCAATAAGTTTTCAGTGTCAATTTGTGCCACTTATGTGATGGGATATATTTGTTGTGCAATTTGTTGTGTAATTTCTGCAGAATGTTCTTTCACATCTAAACAGTTCTGAAGATCTGGGGAAGACAGCTAGTAGGCTTCATCACTATTAGTTGTTGCAATTCTTTTGAATATAGAGCTTTCTTTTCATTTCTTTGCCTTCTGTCTAATCAGATATTTTCAAACATAAGTAGTAAAAAACCTGGATTTTAAAATCCAGCGGCTTTTGTGAGTAGTAAGATTAAAATTACTGTGTGATTTCAGCAGCTGAACAAGAAATATAAAAAAAAATCCTGGATGTGACTTGAAAACACTTTAGGAATCAGGTTATGTAAAGATTGTAGATAGATTTCTTCCCTTCCTTTCTGAAATACCTGGTGCTGTCTCCAGAGGAGCAAGTAAGAACTTGTAACATAGGTTTATATCAATTTTTATGATTGCATAGTATGGTCACAGTTTCTTCTTCAACGGAACTTATCCCACTTGGTAAATGTTGTTCTCCAACTGCTCGAAATCTCTTCTTGTGCACGTGTTCAGCCTTGAAAATTGAGCTGAGGATAAGTCACAAAACACCCAAACCTTTGCATCTTTCTCAGTCTGCTTTGCATCAGGTGTAGTTGAATTCCTTCCATGTGGATCCTTTCACGGCACAAGAATCAAATCTCTGAGATGTAGAAGGAACTCGGGTTGGAACGGTGTGTGGGGAACTGTTTGAAGGTGACCTCCAAATTTACGAAGGGATTTTCACTGCGGCAACATCTCCACATCTGGCAGAATTGCACCTTAGTTTATGATTGTATTTTATTTTTATTTTTTGTTGATGGTAGTTTGAGTATTTATTTAAAAATCAAAAACTGAATGCTTCTTTAGCTGTTGGATTTGACTTCAAAAGCCAATGTGATCAATCCAGTTTGGCAACTCGGAGGATGTACACATGAGCTTTTCTAGGAATCCAAGTGCAAGAAAATGTTTGTTCTGCATTTGAGTTCTCTTTCTATTAACCTTACAGTGCCATCCCACAGCCCTTGACTGCAAGGTGTTCTAGCTGTTGTTTGCCCTTAGTTTTGGGGAAATGACTGATCACAGTGAAGAAGACAGCAAAGTTTTGGTTTAGGATAAAGAAATGACTTTAGCCTAGAAGAGACTGTAGTGGGAGTTTCTTTAGACAGTTTTCATTTATTACTGTGGTTTTTGTTGTACGATGCAGAATAACTTCTCTAACAGTGAATTGCTGTGTTTAAACTGAGAGACCACCTAGTTTCATCTACACAATCCTGCCAAAATGGAAGCTGGCACAGTCTGTATGAAATTGATAGGGAATTTTAGGAAATAAATAAAGAGCAAATACAAAAAACTGGAAATTGTATTTGCATATTTATAAAAACATTTGTTCTCACCAATGCATTGGATTTATGGCTGTTAAATCAGCTAAAACAACCTTGTCTTAGCAGTTGTAGTGGAACATTTCTCAAGATTTTTAAACAGTTGTAACTGAAATACTGGTGCCAACACAGCCATCTAAACACTGACAGTAAAGGTAACCACAGACTTCCTCTCCTATTGCTTAGTTTCTAGCACAAAGCTCACATTTTCAGCAAGGTTGTGTTACCCAGGCAGACAACTCTTTTTCTCTACAAATGCTTTTTCATTTGTTGTCAACTGAGTAAACAAATGTATCATGTTTGTATAGAATAAGGGTGCGTTCTGTTCTGTTGGTTACCAAGACAAACACAGGACAGAAGAATCCCTCAAAGAGTCCCCTGTTTGGATGAAAGCCCAGGAACACAAGAACTCATCTTCAAAAGCACTATCAGACTTTGGACTCTATGGTACTTAAAAGCTAAGTCATAATTCCCACCAACAGATATCATCCAAAGACTAAGAATGACTGAATGGCTAAGGGAAAAAACATCAACGCTTCCATCCCTGCATACTGACTGGAATACATAAGGAGACATAAAGGTATCACAGTCCCTGGAGGTGTTCAACCAATATTTAGGCATTGTACTGAGGGACTTGGTTAAGTGGGAAATATTAGTGATAGGTAGATGATTGACTGGATGATTTTAGAGGTCTTTTCCAAGCTTGGTGATTCTTGATTCTATCATTATTTAAGTGCTCTGCACTTAAGGGCATATTAAATACTCAGGGCATATTAAATAAGGCAGCATTTTTATTTTTTAAGCTCTAATCTCAGCCTTTCTATTCAGTCTGAAGAGATTCAGATTGCTTCTTTTTAGAGTAAACTCAAGAGACTACACCAAGGGTGTAGTCCAGGCTGTAGGCTTGGTACAAGCATTTCTTGCAAGGCTATATTTCCCTTTCTTGAGGGAAGTGTAATAAAATAGCCAATTGCTAACAAAGTATTGCTTGGCACATAATCTTCCTTACATCTAGGTTGCCTCTAGTTAAAGGATGTGTTACCCTGGTCATTGCCCAACCGTGTCCTCACACTGTAATCAGCAAAAGGGTCTCAGCAGAACAAGAAGAGAAAGAAAACTCACTGAGATCTTTGCTCCCAAATTTTTGTGCTTGGCTTTGACACAGGTAAATCAGGGCTGTGCAGTCTGTTGGATATTCTATGGCACTTAGGGAAGCTTGGAGTTCTTTGTGATACATCTCTCTTTTGCTGTAGCCAATAGAGAAATTGCAGTGCTCTCAACAATCTGGGAACAGAATTATTTTAACTTAAGGTGACCATACACCTTGAACTCTATATTTCAGTGGCTGATAAGGGTGCATAACTAACTTAGTGTGTGAAAACCAAAGTCAGACTGTTCAGTGCTCTTCTTGACCCTGATTTTAATTTATTCTAGCTCATTTGTGCAAAATTATTCTTCAACTCTCACAGATAAAATTAGCAGAAGTTTTTTGAAGTTGAATCCGGGTTTCCAGGTTCTCATTCACCATTGAAAAAATAGGAAAAATCCAGATAGCCAAAAAAAAAAAACAAAAAAAAAAAAAAAAAAAAAAACAAACAAACAAAAAAAAACCATAAACAGTGACTACAAAAAAGAAAAAACACCTGAGAGTACTGAAACTCCAGTTAAATTTCTGTTCAGTGTTTCATGCATCAGGCTACTCCAATCCTACCTTGTATTCGCTTATGTTACAAGTTATGTTACAAGTACTGCAACAGATAACTTAGTGAGTTTTGTCCATTGTTTTCTATATTTGTTTTTGTTTACTTTTACCTGTAAGCTTTCCATTGCACTACAGAAAACATTTGAGAAGCACTTTGTTGTTCAGTCGCGTGTCCTGTCAAGTTCTGACCTTCCATAAAGAATATTAGAAAGATGCAAATGAGAAACATAGTCTTAATCAGCGGTTTAGTACATCAAAGAAATGTTTGCTATGCTGAAGATAACACAAACTATGGTAGGTCATGAGTTAGGTATGAAGCCAAAGCATCAGTTCATGCCTTCGCATAACGACGTGGGTTAGACCTCACTGTGCTCACATCCACTGCCTGATTCCATAAACATTCAGCAAGCATGGATGACTGTCAGTGGGTGCCATTTGTTTCCACATGGAGGAATTCAGTGACGCACCTTTGCTCTAGATACGTTTCCATGTCAGGCATCATTTGTCTGGCTTCCCCTTTGCAGCCATCTGTCACACAAAAAACAACATGTAATGGAATCCTGGTGCAAAGGTTCAACCTCTGCTGCTCTACCACACTATCTGCCTCTGATGTCATGGGCCAGTGTAATAAAATAGGAGGTATTACTTTCAAAGCAACCCTCATAGGTACAAAATGAAAGCATTATTCAGGAATGTAAGCATTAATTGATGCATAAATATTAATTTAAGACATCAGAAGAATTTCTTGGTTCAAGAAGCCTAAGTGTACTTGCCAGAAAAATATTATTTGCTTCTGAGTTAAGTTGCTGGGCCCTGCGTGTTATCTAACGCTGGAACTGACCCACTGCTTTTTACACTGCTGTTGAATTAGAAATATATTAACTCTATAAGGGAATAGGTGTTTTATAAAATATTTTCCAGGGAAAATTTATCTTCCTTGTTGCTCAAAGATATCGTCAGTAATGTTGCCTAAAGAAGCGTTACTCGCATTCTGGAAAAGTAGTATGATTCCATCTTCTGTTATTCCTTTGCTTGACACCAACAAAGTCATTTGTTTCAAGATGTACTCAACACAGGTCTTGGTTTTGCTGCAGTTAGATTATTGATTTATTTCCTTTTTTTTCCGAGCTAGAAAAATTTGTCTGAGGAAATACCAAGGATGTGAAAACAACAAAGTAAAAAATGAAATCTTTATCTAGCAAAAGCATGTCGAGGGTGATTTAGCTAACTAATATTTTAGTTTAAATCTTTCTTCTGTCACATTTTAATCAGTCCCTTCTGCTTAAAAAAAACATAAATACCACTGTTTGTTATCACAGAGAAGAGAATATTGGCAACATTAGGGCTCAGCTGTAAGACCCATCAAAGCAAGAAAAGTTCAGCTAAGATAAAGCAGCTTCTTACTTCGAAGATGTTGATTTCAAAGTGTTAGGTGTTGTGAGGGTTCATCAGTCTATTTCATGTACAATCTGTAAGGTTTGAAGTATTGGTGAATAGAGTAACCTGGGCAAACCTTAGTAATAGTTTTGTCTTTTTAGGAGAAAGAGACTTTTCTCCCCTGTCTTTCTCTGGCCTCCCCCTTATTTTATTTTTTTGCGACATCCTGCACTTACTCTAGCAAAGGTTGGACACTCATCTTTAATTCTTTTGAGTGAAGTCAAGAAAGCATAGTCCACAGGTGATAGGGCAAGGCTGTAGAAAAGCAGAATCCAAGGTTTAGTTAACCCTGCTCTACTATTGGTTGCTAGAAGAATCTGGGTGATGATTTCTTGGTGCTGCTATGAGAAAGTAACAGATCTGTATCTGTCCAGAGCTCCACTCGAAGCATAAACAAGTATTTCAAGTTCTTTTGTCCAAGAG